CATATATTGGTGGGAAAGTGATTGAAAAGACGGAACAATGTTAAATCGAAACAAATCTAAAACGCAACCACCAGCCTGCAGATGCACTCAAGATCAGTTTCCTTTCGATTTTTACTACTTGCATTCTGTAATGGTCAAGCCAAATTCCAATATTACGTGCTGTGTTAATTTTGGGCATACTTTAAGACAGAAGATTAAACTGAAATTGTTGGAAACAGGAGTGGACCCAACCTAATGAATTCCACACTCCTCAGCTTTCTATCAAGGTCTGTACTGGTTAAATCATATTGTTATCTATATTTTGCTTTGAAGTTCTTGTTTTTGCATAGTTTCCCAAATATTACAATTTTAGTTGTGCTTAACCTATTATATCTGTCTCTGTTTATAGGATGTCAACCAGCTAAACTTTGATTACGTGCAGGACAGTATTCAAGATGAACAAGATCGAAGTCTTAAAGTGCGGTGAGTTCACAAAAATATTTACCTGTTATAGACTATTAGGTTTCCATCTGTATTATCAGTTGTGGATGCACAATTTAAAATTACAATTTGAAGTGAACAGTTATTTATGAAAGACTGCAGTGAGATGTACTAAATAGCTTTAAAACTAAACATATTTTTCACATGAACTCTTAAAGTTCTGAGTGTAATACAATATCGGATGAGTGGGTATTAAACCAGCATGCGTGCCCTTATTTACTAAGCAAAATTTTTATAGAAAATCCTGGAAAAATAAAAAGGCCATGAAAGTGAGATCCTTATAGAAAAAAATGTAATTTTTTTAAACAGTAGCCTTCTATTAGAATTAAATTTTGTCAAGGCCCTTCAGTACAAGCTGTGTGCCAAGTTTGGTGATCACTGGCCATTCCACTTTTGGGTAATACACTTAACCGTTTCTCAAGTAGAGTTCAACCAAATATTTTTCTGACGTGGCAAGTATATTTTCTTAAAACTGTTGCTGGTGGTTAAAAACCAGTTCTATGTAGTGTTATTGTTTGTGAAATAAAATTACATGTAGCGACAAAGATTCATTTCAATATATTAGTAAGGATTTTACGCAATTATAGTTTGAGTAAAACATTGGCAGTTACATTGGGTGTTTTAAAAACTATAGAATGGTCTAACCCACTGTGTTTAGAATCAATTGCAAGATGATTATTTAGAAATTGTTTCACATTGTTTACCTGGAAACAATTTCTAAAAATAATCTTGCAATTGATACCAAAAACACTGGGTTAGAACATTCTATATTTTTTAAAACACCAAATGTAACTGACAAGGTTTTACGAAAACAATAATTGCGTAAAGTTCTGACTAATATATTGAAATGAATCTTTGACGCTACATGCTACTTTATTTCACAAGCAATAACACTATGTGAAACTGGTTTTTAACCACTAGTAACCG